CACTTCATAGTGCTTTACAGCCCTCTCTGAGCAGTTTACAGAGTCAGCATATTGCCCCCAACAATCTGGGTACATATTTTACTGATTTCAGAAAGATGGAAGACTGAATCAACCTTGATCGGTCAGGGTCAAACTCCTGGCTGTGGGCAGAGTTTGCCTGCAATACTGCATTCTAACCACTGCACCACCACAGCTAGATGAATGATGTGCAACTATGTTTTTCAGCAAATTTTACTTCTGCCTAAGACTTTATTTTTTAATTAAACTCGAGTATATGGTAAAACAGAGGTGCCTATTTACACATTTCTAAGTACACATGTCATAATTTTCATTTCATAATTTAAAAGAAATTGCCCTGAGAATCTCAAACAGAAATCGATATGAGACTTGTCTTACTGCCCTGGGTCTAACTTTGATCCAGTGGGATATCATTCCATCATCTTCCTTCTTTAATAAAAATATTTAAAACAATGCTATCTTGTTTTAAAGGGTTTTTTTAAAAAGAGCTATGGTACTGCAAGTAATGACTAGGCCTGTTGTGTCCTGAGCCTGCAAAAGCAGGCTCGGGACGTTGCAATGGTCTGGGGCTTTGCAAAAGCTGCCCGGGACCAGACTGAGCGGCGCCAGCCTTGCGCACATGCGCAAGGCAGGAGAAGTGCCTGTGCTTGGTCGCCATGTTGTCCAGGGATCTGGGCATATAAAAGGAGGCCTGCGTGCCTCTGCTCTTGTTCGGAGTTGTGACTGAGAAGGAATAAAGAGCTGTTTGAACAACATGTGTTCTCCTCATTCGCCATTCCTGCGAGGACTTAACAAGGCCCAAATATCCTTTTTTTGGACACATTATGTGAAGACCCAGCTCTCTGGAGAAGGCTGTAATGCTGGGAAAGATGGAAGGAAAGAGAAGAGGACAAGCAGCAGCAAAAAGAAGGACTTAATTACAGTGGCAATAACTTCCTTGGAAGTGCTGAAAAACCAGGATAGAGATAGTGCTTCATGAAGAAAATCTATCTGTGTGGTTGCTGGGAATTAAAAACGTCTTAATAGTGTGTAATCAATTGTGCTACAGTAATAGGAGTCTGATCCTTGGTGTACTGATTCATATTTATGAGACTCTTAGGCTTCTGTATCATGCTATAGTAATTGTTCAAGAAGGGGTAAGTTTGTACTTCTTACGAGGGATTCTCCATCCATTTTAATAGAAAAACTCTTATACGAATTTAGTGCCGGTAGAGCCAGCTGGAAATAAAAGTCTACTATAGTGGACCTCTTTTCTGCAATTTTAAAAATGATTTTAAAAATCCTTTAAAAAAGGAAATAAATATGTATAAGCCTGACTAAGTTAGTAGCAACCTTTCACTTCAAGTATGGCTACTTAAACAACTTCCCTGCTTATGTCGCACACGTTTAATAATGCAGAATATTTTTTATTACTCATATTCATTCTTTTAAATGGCAAAAAGGAAAAGAAAGAAAAGAATTTCCTGTCCCAGTCTAATGGATCTTTTAAATTAACCAGGACTCTGTATTATGTCTTTTGCATCCTATTAACATTTCCAATCTCACTCTTCTCCATTTGGTGCAGCTTTTCTCAAAATAAACAATATGTCCACTTTTTCATTGGAATGAAAACACATTAACTGATTGCAACATAAATCATTTTTACAGTTTTTATTACTACATTGGAAATTCAGCTTTTCTCAGCCTCATTTAAAAAGTAGATGCTCCAAAATAGGAATCTGTTTTCTAATTTGATTTTCAAATTTTTGTTTTCATCTAAAGCAGAACCAGTATCACTTACTGTATTTTCACTCTCAAAAAGGCTGACTGAAAAAGGTCCATCCTGAAATCCAAGCAGGATTTTGGCACAGAGTATTTGTAGCACAGGGCATTTGCAACCAGAAGCCAGAAGGTGGCATCTTTCTGATGCAGGTGGCATTCGACCTTCCCTGGCGGCTTCCCTATTGACCTTTTGGGGAAGCCAGCAGAGAAGATTGTGAATGGTGATCACATGATTGCGGGATACTTGGCAACCAGTTGTTTATTTAAAAAAAAATAAACATAATTTTAAACTATATTCTGCTCACTCCTACCTTACTGTAAATGGCAACAAATATAAAGAGTTTTATACTTACTAAAAACATTATATTGTTTCATTTAGTTGGTATCTGTATTGCTATTTTAAAAGATAAAATAAATGAATGAAGACTGGTCCTTGCTGTAAAGACTGCACTGAGCTCTGATAGTTATTTGCCCAATAGGACATTGCTGTAGATGCATTGACTATTTCTCTTCCATCTTTTTTTTTAAAAAAACAACAACAACCACAAATCAGTTATAGAAACTGTGGCAGATTTCCATGGTTTTGCTTTTCAGAAAAAAAATATGGAAACAATATTGATAAAGTAGGGCTTCCTATAAAATTTAAATTATCTGTGTCTGTTCTGTTATAAATATTTGATTAAAAGCAGCTTAGAAACCAGTTGACCATGTTCTTCACTCAAAGATATAAAGATGCTCAAGTTCATTGTGACTGAATAGCAGTCTAGTAATAAAGGCCTATTACTGAATTCTGGCTTCAAATTGGAGATTAAACAGACTCTTTGTTTAGAGTTGAGCTGATTTGGTTGTTGATTTTAATTTAATTGGCTTAGATACTAATTTGGTTTAAGGCATAGGGTTCTTAATACTGATGCTGTTAATACTAATTAGCTGAGAAATACTGAGTGAAAAGACATTTGGTTCAAGATGCAATAGTTTTTGACTGGTCTGAGGTAGTGTTGAAATAGTGACCTATTGAGTGTGGGAAGGGAGGGAGGGAGGGAGGGAGGAAGGAAGGGAGGGAGGGAGGGAGGCAGGAAGGAAGGAAGGAAGGAAACAATACCATAGAACATTCACCAAGTTGTTTAATCTATGGCTACGAATGAAGGCAAATATATGTGTCCTAGGATAAAGTTGAATACACACATTCTGGTAGAGAGAAGTTCCCTGAGGATGGGCTCCAGCATATCTGAAAGTTCAGAAGACTAAACCTCTGGTCCCAGATTGTATCCTGCAATTATGGCTACTTTGTAAAGCACAGAGAATTAATTTGAACTCATTGATCCTTGTAACAGCTTCTCAGGCCATGTTTATTTTCTGATTTGGTCTGCAATACATTTGTTCTATTGCACATCGCATAGATCGCATACAGTAATCTATGACTTATCATCTTGTCGTTTTATATACACAGAGAGCTTATGCACTGGAGGCAAATTCCTTGTGTGTCCAATCACACTTGGCCAATAAAGAATATTGTTATTCCTATTCTAGTTCAGAGATGATTATTTCTGTTCCATCCAGAAAATTAGAATTTGCACAGAAAATAAATGTTGTATGGATAAGATCTTTTTTTGTGCAACACATTTTAACAAAATAATTGTGATAGGCAAGAATTACTTTCATTTCTTAATACGTTTTTCACTCATTATTAAATAACTATTTTAACAGTGATATTAACCTTATAAATGTACATTCATTACATTCCAGCTTTTCCTATTTTAAAAACCATTGGAGCTGATTCCCTCTTTTGCTTTATTTTACTGGAATGACTCCGTCATGAAATGGACTACCCACTTCTGTATTAAGCTCCTTCCTGCTGTTTTTAGAAAGCTCCCTAGTTGTGAAATTTCAGCCTACTTGTCAAAGATAAAGTTGTGAGTATGGCCAAAGCAGATGAAAATGTTTTAACAAGAGAGACCAATGATTGGTCCAGAAGTCAGTAGTACTTTAAGCAAGGAAGAGATTTCCTATTCCCGAAGACTATTTCCTGTGCAAATAAACTATCATTGTTGGAACATATACAAAACATAATTCTTCCTTATGGTGAAAAGATTTGAATGGTGTTCCAGTTTTTACAAGGCATGTAAATACACTTTTATGCCTGACAGTTACAAGATGCTCCAGGGTTCTTGTTTGAGTAACAGCTGCAAAAAGCTTAGCAATACGAGTAGTTCCTCTTTAAATGAGAATGGGATGGAGTAAAATAGCTTTTCCAATTTCATGATTTTGAAGTCGTGATACATTGATGATGATGTGATATCCCAGTGGTAATTCAAGAAAATTGGGTTTTTCAAAAACGGTCCCAGTCCTGCTAGCAAACCATGCTTGCATCCAGATCGGCCATGTTTCAAATTGAATCAGTAATATGAATTACAATATGATGCGTTCTCTCTCATTCATTATATCATTTTCATACTACAGTATTGCAGTCCCACATTCATGCAGCTGCAGCCATTGAAATCAGCTGTCTGAAATTTCTTTTTAAAATCTGCTTGTTGTCAGTTTTTGTGAAAATATTAAGCGTTCCTTCAGATTGCTGGATTAAAAAGATTTCAGAAGCTTCCTTAAGGCAAGGGATTTTCTCTATTACTGTCCTCTCTACCACGCACACAGATTGAGGAGGTTTACTCAATGATTTACTAATTATTTGTCTAAAAATCTCAGACTACTCTAGCCTGAATTATGTTACTGAACAAATGAACAAATATTTGATGTATGTGTGTCTAGACACAAACATGTTTCCTCTGTTTATTATTTTTTTCAAATCAAATTAATCATTTCAAATATAAGCACCCAAATTTATTTGGGAGTCTGGCAGCCTTTAACTAAATAACTTTTTCATCAATTACAATTCAGTAAGTTTTTTTTTTAACACGTGGCTATTGATCTTCACTTAAATTAATTTAAATTAACTTGGATTATTCTGAATATTGTATTAGCTAAAGGGAGTATGAATACCAATGAAGGTATTGATGAAGACCCAATTCCACATTTAACCTTGAAACTAGCTATCTGACTTTTGCCTATTATTTTCTGTCAGCCCACAGGATTTTTATTGTGAGGATAAAATGAAAGGTGATTGTTAAAAAAAAGGTAGAAAATAAATGCAGGATTGAGTCAGTAAGCAAAAGAAGATACGTGATTAATGTGATTTATTTTATTATTTCTTTGTTTCTTAACAGATGAGAATAGGGATTCACTCAGGATCTGTTCTGGCTGGAGTTGTTGGGGTGAGAATGCCCAGATATTGTCTCTTTGGCAACAATGTCACCCTAGCAAGCAAGTTTGAGTCAGGAAGTCATCCACGCCGCATCAACGTCAGCCCAACGACCTATCAGTAAGTGTTCTTCAGCCTTTTTAAAAATATACTTCTTAAAGCTTTGGTACACAGCATTTCTGCCCACAAAACAAAATGATATATCACCCCAATGTGCTGTACATTTTCAATATAAAGTAAATCTAGGGGCATAAGACAATTTGTATCTAAGTAAGCTTTTAACCAGAAAAAGACTATATTGTCTGCATGTCTTCTATCAATTAATCAATCTCTATCAGATTGGGCTATCAATAAAATATGGCATGAAACAATTGAGAAATCATGTAAGCCGCAGCCCCTAAAGAAAATATTATTGTGAGAGGCGCAGTTAGATGTGCCCCCAATGTTTTAATAATTTTCAAAGGCACATTCAGAGTCTAAAAGTGAACTGGATTTCTGAACCTGTCCTACACATATGATTCCTTCTGACTAATTTAACTGTTTTGGAGTTAGCCTTTATGAACTCATTTTGTAGTTAGGAATTTTTTTCCACTATTGTGGGTTTTGTAGTTTTCTTCCTGTGGTTTCAGCATTGTTTGCCTGTTTGCATGCTTTCCCTTTTTAATAATCTCAAGACTCTCTGTGTTTGTGTTCGTTTGTGTAAACCTCTATGTAAATGAAAGCTTATATAATTGTCTTCACCCAGGATGATCAGGGACTGATACAATTGAATATAAAATAGCTAGAGATTTGACGTTTTAAAAGCAATTAAAACTATTGCTCAAAATGAAGATTATTCACTATAGATAAAAATCAGATAACTACTATACAGAGCCAATTTGTGTGCTTCAGCAAGGGGCAGACATGTTGAGCAGATTTTGATGGATGGATAATGGATGAAGAGAGGCAAAGCTGGAATGTGGGAATACAAAGTAATTTGGGAACCAGTTGGCATAAAATAAATTCTTTTGTCCCAGATCGACCTAGTAACAAACAGTTATTAAAATTTCAGTGATTAGTATTTGAAATCAGAATCTAATTTCCCTGTGCAATTCTGTCAGATTGTTTTGTTCTGATTTTTAATTCTTTTCTCGTGATGCTCAAATTTGACATGTGAATAGATACTCCGCAGCAGGTCCCCATAAATTAAAATCTGATTTATACCTTGGAATGTGAATTTTGCACAATCAAGATAATCTTTTTTGATATTTATTCCAAAGTCACACAAGATCTTTTGACTGAATTGCAGGGATCAATTCTTCAGTGATACGTATAAATGTTGTATACTCTGCTACCAAGCTACAGTCCCTGTTTCTGAAGCTCGCTATCTTACTCTGGCAATAGAACAGGCGATGCTCAGCAAAGCAAGTCAACAACCAAGCAAGCAAGACTAGCAGCCAGAAAATTGTGCTCAGATGTTTTGTTCTAAAATCTATTACTCCTGCCTCATATGCCATCTGGCCTTTTCTCTTTTACACACTGAAAACTGGATGTTTGAACAAACTGTGCCTTGGACTCAGTTCTACAGCTGTTTTTGTGAAATCAATGAAAACCTAACCACTGATTGTAACTAAACTGATGCAGCAGTTTACATTCTACACCAGTGTTTCTCAACCTCAGGAACTTTAAGTTGGGTGGACTTCATCTCCCAGAATTCATCAGTCATCTGGGGAATTCTGGGAATGAAGCCACCCATCTTAAAGTTCCTGAAGTTGAGAAACATTTTTGTATATGAGGAAGCCATCAGGAATTGAGCTGTACTCAAATAAGGCTCCTACTTTCTGCATAATCAGATAAATAAATTGATTCTGTTCCTTTAAAGTTTAAAACGGTAGTTTCATTTTTAGTCCTTTAAAATGTTTAAATAGTTAACGTCTGAAATAATACAGTTTTACAATTTCTCTATAAAGAAAGCCTGCCATTGCTGTTCAAAGTTGAAAGTTGCTACATGAGTGTAACTTGTGTATTAGACTTGGCATTCTCTCCCAAAGAAGCAACAATTTGGATATAATACTTTCTTCTTTCATACTTCTCTTAAAAACCCCTGTTTCCTGATTTTTCTTCTTCTTAAACTCATATTTCCTAACCACATGGTTGCCACCCTTTGTATTATATGCATGAACTGGTGAAAGGAAACACAGTTGTTGTTCCTTCCAGTCCAATGTCACTTGACCCACCCAACTCCAATGTCAATTTGAAGCTAATTCTGCAAAAAGTTGAGATTTCAAGATCAGCACTCTGTGTCTCAGGGCGAACTTTTCGTGCTCACATACTGTTCCTCTGTGCCAGGATAAACAGGGTAGTCCTTCCTAAATTCCTTCTTGGATGAGAATCTCACAAATTTGTTCTTCTTTGCTGAAACAGAAAATGCTGCTCCAATTATAACAATGTACTAAATCCAATGCACAGGCTGCTTGTCCAGGATATAATAATTTTAATGTATGCCCAAATGAATTTCAAAGCTAAACAAAAACCATTCTCAGCAGTTACAGGTCTGCTTACAAGTGGCTGTTTCCTTGAATTATATATGATGCACTCTGCTTATTTAGAAAATTCCACTTCATTGGTTTTTAGCCAGTGGCTCTAATCAAGATACCTCATACTCAGTTGGGAACAGCAGGTGACACGTGTCTCTTTATTGCACACTAGGGATTTTCATTCCATCTTTTCTGAAAAGTGAACAGATTTATCCTGCGAATATCACTGAAAACCTTTGAAAGGTGCACCACTTTCCATGTTTAATATGTTAAACAGGCAGAGCTTGTTTCTGTGCATGGATTGTTCCTGTTAAATCAAATAACAATTTAAATGCCTAGTTTTACGGAAAACAGTGCCTTTCATTTGCAGGCCATTGTAAAACAAAGGGACCAGAACTTAGTTAATTTGGATATGGTAGAGAACTTATTTGTGAAATGCCAGCTCTTTGGTAAAATAGGTGCCATATGTGTGTAATTCTGTGTTACTTTGTAAACAGCCCGCTCTTTATTTTCTCCCCTCTTTTTAAAGAAAAGCCATAATACAGTATTATATCTAAACATCCAACTGTGATTTGTTAATCTCAGTTATATTTTCACTGAATTTGAAAAATATTAAAGTAATAAATCTGATATAGATTAAAGGCTTTATTCTGTTCAGTACCCACAGTGATTGTTTGAAGGGGGGATGTGGTGTGCAGAGGAACATAATGCTTAATTGCCATGACATTAGGAAAAGAGAAAGTTTTCTGCTTTCTAGTTTAGGGATCTTCAGATTATTTGAGGAGCTTTGTTTTCCTGTTGGTTGTAGGATCTTTACTTCCCATTTTCTTCCAATTAATTTAGAATAGTGTTAACATTTCACCCTCAGTTTGTGAAGTTGATAAGAGTGTGAAAGAGCCAGTCCACCGGTCCAAGTGCATGATTTGATCTTCTGTTGGATGATTTCAGAAAAGCAACTGATTGTGCTGAAAAGTGTTAGATTGACAGTTGGTGTCATTAGAGTGTTGTCAGGAATCCTTGTTCACATTAAAAAAAACAACAACACGATTTGGTTCAAACCCAGTAATGAATATAGTGCTCAGTCAGTGACTGTAATTGCCAAATAAAAATGTAAACCTGGATTTTTTCCAAGCAGTATTAACACTAGACAAACAGTCAACAGTAAACAATATCCTACTCAAGGGACTACGAAGGGAAAATTACACTCCTACCAACACAGAGAGGGCAAACTACCTTATATAAACAGACTCCACTCCCTTCCCACAATGAAGTTGTTACCTTAGTTCAGGGGTAGTTAACCTTGGCTCTTTTATGACTCGTGGACTTCAATTCCCAGAATTAGCTGGCTCAGGAATTCTGGGAGTTGAAGTCCACGAGTCATAAAAGAGCCAAGGTTGACTACCCCTGCCTTAATTGATAAGGAAGTATCTGCAAGCAAACAACTAAACTCAGAGAGCACCAGGAACTCCACAGTTCATACAGATTTTCTCTTCTATTCATTGTGGATCTTATCAAAATCAGGATTAAGTGTCACCACTATTCCAGGTGATTGACTGGCCTATAGCACTACTAGATGTACTTGATCCATGAATGTCCATGGATAATTGGCAAAGGTGCAACATAAATTCAAGGATATTTTTTTTATTCACATAACACTAGAATTCAATTATAATGAGTGATTATAATCAATTGATAATTCCAATTTTGCATTGGCAATACATGTTGGCCATTTGTTTCCATGACTTTGACAAAGATTATATAATTTTATGGATAAATCTATGATGACTATATTTAATTTTCAGATTTATAGAAATGCCATTAAATATCAACTGTTACCAAATAACTGGGGCATACTACAGCTAGAAAACTGATTACTGAAGGAGAAAAAAATTGGGCACTGGAATAGACCAACCTTCATTCTGAAATTTTAAAGTTCTCCTTGCATAATGATATATCATTATGCAATTCCAAGAAAATAAATGCATGGCAATTTGTAAGTGCAGTTGTTTTTCAGATAATAGATGTTACTGTATAGATAGACAAGGACACTTTCTGGAAAAATAATTTGTCTTATGATACACACAGGCCCTATTTACCCCTACTTATATTTGATATTTAATTATGGGATCTCTGGGTTTGCTTAAGAAGCTTTGGATAGATTCTGTTGGTTTGTGTGCTACAGTGATGCCAAGAAGTTGTGTATTCTTTGGGCAATTGAAAATATTTGATTTACATGGCAGAGTTTTATTTTATATGTTGCGATGGTTATATTCCAGTAGGTCCTGTATTTATTACAGTGGACAATGCTGTACAGTTGTCTGTTGGTTTACTTTTGTTTTGTTTTGCTCCTTTGAATAATGTTGCTATGCAGTTCCTTTTGTGGACAGATATGTTGTTGCTTTGGTAGTGAAGTACTTGGTTATTGTGAGGTGCTTTTCAGATGAACCTTTTTTTTTTGCCATTGTTTCCTCTGCTGAAGAAAATATTCAGGAAAGTTGGGGGGTTGTTTTTTTTAATCTCTGTTCCTTTTTTATCATGAAAAAGTAATTGTCTACCTAATGTATCCATATTTTGGCTTAAATGTAGTGGACTTTCAGGTATGAA